TCCCTGAAACGCGGTCGTGTAACACTTCAGGCGCGACTTTGAAAGGGCATAGAAAATCGAGGATTCAACCAAATTCAAAAATTTTTTCGCCCAAATGCCTCAAATAACAAGTGGATTCGTTTTAGGGTTAGGTGCACTTTAACTTTTCTTATAATTATTTCCAGGGGCATATATGGTAGTTGACTTCATAGGATCTTTTAGCCTTGCAACGTAGAAGCCTACAGCAAAATAAGTTGGTGGAAATCTCGGCTGATTGAAATGTTAGAAGAACGAGACACCACGCAATGCTTTGGGGAAATATCATGGTTCTTTACGGGAAAACGTTTCAAGGATAGTTCATGGTCATGGATCGTGTGTGTTTCAGCAGCGGTTTGTAATTCTGTTAACCTTGGCATGGTTCTCAGCTTTGGTGTGTTGTTCCCAGTTTTGATGGACTACTTTGACGAGACCAGAGAGAGAACAGGTTAGTGAAGTTAGTCTTGTAGCTGTGTTGTCGACAAGCGGGAGGTCTTTGCAAATTGTACTGTCGTACAAGTGTATCATATGTGCCGGTAGTCGAGTTCAGTGCTGTTGATTCGTTTCTGAATGACGCTTAAAAGCTACTGATTTAAAAAAAAATGCTGAACATTTCCTTTTAGGAACATTGACAGGTTCAAAATTACAGGGCCATACATTCAGCCGAGGACGGGTTTGATTTCACACTACAATCAGCAAAATTTACTCGAAAAGTAGTGCTGAGCTTCGCCCCTCGAAAATCCACTTTGTTTTGAGAGGATGCAAGTGGACTCTACAGTACAGTTTAAATACCGTGATCACAAAAGTCCGAAACCCTGATGTAGAACTCTATTCTCCTAACACAGTAGAGAGAAGAACCAAACTGTATAGAAAACATTGTCCTATGTCCAGTTCGTCCCAACTGAACATCTCAAGTCCGTTGTATGTTATGCTTTTCTTTGTTTTGTTTTTCTCCAGTTCTGTCGACCCATAACATCGACTCTGAGACTAATCGTTTCTTACTGAGGATCAGCATTTAAAACTGAAATTCATTTCCCTTTATCGCAAATATCGCCAAATTCCAAAATTTTGGCAAGCAAAATGTAGCTACTATCATTGATTGAAAAACGTTTTTATTTTCAGCTTTTGTTGGCTCAATCGGTCTGGGCATGGTATGGTTTGCAAGTCCGCTGGCAGGCTATCTGTGCGATCGCTTTGGTTGCCGCATCACATGTTTCTTGGGAGGCACGCTGTGCATTGCGGGTCTGGTGTCGACATCATTCGTCCAGAGCTTCACAGTGATGTACTTCACGTACAGCGCCTTGTACGGTTTAGGAACTTGCTTTATATACAATCCTTGCTTTCTTGTAATTGCTAATTATTTTACAGAGAAGTTGTCCGTAGCTACTGGCGTTGTTTCGTTGGGCGCAAGTGTAGGAGTCCTCTACAGCGGACCTTTGCTCCAAGTCCTCTTAGACTCGTTCGAATGGAGAAACACTTTCAGAATAATGGCAGCAACGTATGCCCTTGTGTGTATTTTGAGTCTGAATTTCAATCCATATGTAGAAGAAATAACAACAGTGGAGAACTTAAACACTGAAAAGAACAACAAAGAGGAATTCGCCGCATTTATGCTGCCCTTCACCACAAAATACTGGAGCCTTATCGTTTTCAGTGTCATTTATGGATTTAGTGATGGTATTTTCATAACAAGCCAGTGTTTTATTCTACTGACGTGTGTGGACAGCAAGAGAACAACGGCCGCTTTCTGCATCAACAATGTGTTGTATTCGTTTTCTGCGGCCGCTGGTGGACCAGTTGCTGGTGAGTTAATAATGTTACTTCAAACCGAGTGCGAGAATTGTCCAGGGGGAGCACAGACCTGAGGTCCTCACAGAAAATACAGTACGTTTTGAGCGCAGTGTGTTCGGTAGAAAAAGACAAAAGGCCATTTAGCTCTTCCAATGTGGCCCCGAACTATAACCCTAGGCAAATTTCATAAAACTCGGCGATCGTGATGGCAGTGAAACAAACTTGAAGGGAAGGAAATTTTTTTTAGAAATCCAGGGTTCTTGAAATATGGTGGGATACCACAGTAGAAACTCTGTCAGTAAAACTCTGAGGAAACCTCTTTTGGGGATCTTTCAAGCTCGTTTCTTGAGATATTTTCTTTTCTTTTCTTCAGCCTTGATAGCGGACCACACAGGGAGCTATATCTACTCATTCTACATGACTGGAGGAGTACTGTTTGCTGCTTTCCTGATACCAGTAATAATGATTTACATCAACTGGAGAAAGTCCAAAGTTCACCCACAGACCTCGGAAGTAGAAGAAGACGAAGAGAAGAAGGTTGCTGATACAATATCAAAGGCGTTTCAGACTGAGGAGGGGCAAAACTTTGGAATGGAGCGCCGTGATGGAGCCTTGACGAGAATGCGCAGTTCTAGCACAAACGCCTAGTTTTCATTAACGTGTATTTCACTCATCCTAGCATAGGGTCCAAAAGGAGCAGGAATGGCGCAGTGGTGAGAGCGCTCACCTCCTACCGATGTCGATCGGTTTCAGGATTCCGGCCCGGTACTATATGTGGGTTGAGTTTGTTATTAGTTCTCACCTTGCTCCGGCGATTTTTCTCTGGGTTCTCCGGTTTTCCTCCTTCCACAGAAACCAACATCTTCAAATTCCAATTCGACCAGGATAGATGACCTGCATGAAAACCAGCTAAGAGTGACGTGGTTTTCTCTCTAAATATTGCAACTTATCTATTATCTCCCTCGTTCATAAAAATGAGCCCATTCCACCGATAAGTAGCGTTTAAAATGTTGGCTACGTACTGAGAAACTTGGACTCTAGCAATGTCATTAAGGACGTTCGCGCGAAAATTTTCCAACATTGATTTTTTTTAGACTTTTACCACTGTAAGATGATGAGTTATTTATGTCAGAAATGTTAAAAAATAGGGGGTCACCGTCGTGACTAACTGGGACTCTAGAAATGTCATTAAACCGGAGGGTCCTATGGCTATCATGATATACGCCAAATGTACATAGTTATTATCTGGTAGAACTGGTATATGCCGGTGAAAGTATGAAATTCGGTACCGTTAGCAATCGAACAATATCCAAGGTAGCAGGATTCAATTGAACGCATTTGAACTTAAATTGCGAGAGTCTGATAACCAAACATTGTCATTTAACACAATGTAAGCTTTGAGGACGACAGTGCGAGTGTATTTTTCAAGATCATTGCAGTTGTGTTAATACAGTCACGAGGAGATATTTACAGTAGGAATAACTTGCGTCCCCTCTTGAGGAACATAAAAAAAGGGATTTAATTTACGAAAGGTATAGCCTGCGAAGACAGACGTATTTCCGGCTGCCACTTGGTTCCGCGTTTTTCATGTAAATTTAAGGTTACAGTATACCTTCGGGTCGGCAATTTTCTTCAAATTTGGATTTTTGGGTCAAAGTAGTGGCCGAAGAATGATCTCATATTTCCGAAAAATATTTTTGAAAAAGGCTAAATATTGGCGGAGAAATGGCGGTTTTACGTTTACGCCGGAAGTAAAAGTTTACCTCTTGATTGACAGCCCTATGGCGCGTATGCAATCAACCGAGACGATTTTCGCGGGAATTACCTGTATGGATATCACGAATTGACTACTCAGTCGATCAGCATTGTTGTTCTGACTACCCAGCATTTTTGGTATTAGGTATAACTCTACTAAGTTATAAGTAAACATAGACCACGTTAAAAACATGGACCAGTTCGAAAAAGCGAAAACAGCGAAGAACGAATGAAAATACATCAATGAGTGAAGAAGCGAAAGTTCGCCACGCGGATGAAGCTATAGTTATCGTATAAGGCGGGCAAATATTCGTGGTA